GGGGCTATTCGGTGTTCAGTATCTTGCCCAAGGACACTTCAACATGCAGCCAGGGGGAGCCTCCTGAGCCACAGCCGCCCCATAGGCACAAAAAATGTTTAGCCACACTCACAAACAAGAATCTCACTCACTTCTCGACACAAATATTTCTTTTCTTAGAAGGCCACCTTTGTGGGGGGAAAGAGAAATCCAAACAGTTGCTGACTTATACATTGATGATACATATAACTTCCAACAACTAAATGAAAAATTCAACCTCTCCAAAGATAGTTTCTTCAAATTCCTACAAATTAGATACTGGGTTAAGGAGAAATCAAAAGAAACATTCCCATATATCCCAAAAGAAACTTCTCTTGAAACCCACCTATGTAACAAATTACACGGATCAACAAAAGGGATAATATCTTCAATATACTGTATCATCAATGGAGCGTAACCGGATTATGATAAAACATCTACAAGAGAGAGAAATGGGGATAAGACCTAGACTGTATTCATGAGGAGGCAGATTGGCTTCATCTATTGGAACACAAAAACACAGGCAAATTCAATTTAATATATTCCATAGGACATACTACACACCCTACAGGTTACATAAAATTGACAGCAATTTCCTCTAAATGTCAAAGATGTAAAGTGACCAATGGTGATCTTATACACATGCTATGGAGTTGCCCAATGATAGAAGAATTTTGGAAATGTGTCATTGAATTAACCTCAAGGGTAATAGGAAGTCAAATTGAACAGGACCCAAAACTATGGATCCTCGGGGACACAAGCTCTATTAATGCGAACTACTACAAGAAATACTTTATCTTACTTGCGAGCACTGCAGTAAAGAAATATATTCTGATCAACTGGAAATCTGACAATTCACCATCAGCAAGACATTGGATTAATGAGCTTGAGTCTTATTGCACACTCAAAAAGATATTATATAATGTGAGAGGGAAGCATGGAGCCTTTAGAGAAATCTTGGGCCCCTTCACAGACATTGTGCCTTCTCTGGAAACTTCCTCATCGATGCATTTGCTGTGAGTAATGTGTAGATTTATATGTATACAGATGACAGATGAGTGTATATATAAGATGTATATAGACTGTTTAGATATATAAATGAAAGGAAACTGAGAACCATACATAGGAACAGGGTGGGGGTGGGATGGGAAAGGTTGTGTAATATTTGTGTTTTTGTTTTGTATTGATCTTATTTATTTAGCGTTATTTATTTTTTCTTTTGCTTTTGATGTTCAAAATTGAAAATCATCATGCCTGTAAGGTGTGTCTGTGGGGTTATACATTTGTGTACATTCCTTTTGTAAAATGCGATTTTCAATGTATCAAACTGTGGACCCTTCCTACACACAATTAACATCTTGTAAGAGCTTCTATTAATAAAAATAAATAAAAAAAACAAACAAACAATTAAATTAAAGATATGGTATATATATATATATAGGATACCTTCTGCCTGATAAGCTTTATTCCATTGACTTGCATCAAAATGTCCTTCTCTGGTTTAATGCTGATCTTCATGGGAGGCATCAGTGTATTGTTTATCACGGTTCCCAGTCAGATTATTTACTGCTTGATAAGGGAGTTCCCCCACTTTGTCACGCCTACTTTTTTTCTATTTTCATTAATGATGTATCCAAAAAAAAAAAAAAAGTTTTATACAGTTATTTACACCTTGGTCTCCTTGGATATATTAAAAATACCATTATATACAATTACCCTGTCCACGGTGTACCCTGCCTTTCGCCCAATGTAAACTGGGATTGGCTCCAGCCCCCCGCGACCCTGTACGCAGGATAAGCAGTTGACGATGGATGGATGGATTATATACAATTACAATTATATACAGTATTAACAATACAATACAAGCTGATTTCAATTTGGTCAAAAACTTGCCTTACATTAATAAAATTGGTAATAAATAATAAGGTCCTGCAGCATGTTGTTTGGAACAAGGCGTAACTGCACAAATATTTTACATCTGCATATTAACTTTGAGGGTGGTCTCTCATGGATTAGGTGGATTCTTTTAAATATCTTGGCTTTTGGATTGACCCTAAACTCAACTTCAAATTGCACATAGACTTCATTATAAGTTGTTTAAGTTCTCTTTACCAATCAATACACTGTTTTACACTTCAAGTCAGAAAAAAAATAATCTCTCAGTTGATACTGCCGATTATAGATTATGCTGATATTATCTACAGTGGGTACGGAAAGTATTCAGACCCCTTTAAATTTTTCACTCTTTGTTTCATTGCAGCCATTTTCCAAAAATCAAAAAAGTTCATTTTATTTCTCAGTAATGTACACTCAGCACCCCATCTTGACAGAAAAAAACAGAAATGTAGAAATTTTTGCAAATTTATTAAAAAAGAAAAACTGAAATATCACATGGTCATAAGTATTCAGACCCTTTGCCGTGACACTCATATTTAACTCAGGTGCTGTCTATTTCTTCTGATCATCCTTGAGATGGTTCTACGCCTTCATTTGAGTCCAGCTGTGTTTGATTATACTGATTGGACTTGATTAGGAAAGCCACACACCTGTCTATATAAGACCTTACAGCTCACAGTGCATGTCAGAGCAAATGAGAATGATGAGGTCAAAGGAACTGCCTGAAGAGCTCAGAGACAGAATTGTGGCAAGGCACAGATCTGGCCAAGGTTACAAAAAAATTTCTGCTGCACTTAAGGTTCCTAAGAGCACAGTGGCCTCCATAATCCTCAAATGGAAGACGTTTGGGACGACCAGAACCCTTCCTAGAGCTGGCCGTCCGGCCAAACTGAGCTATCGGGGGAGAAGAGCCTTGGTGAGAGAGGTAAAGAAGAACCCAAAGGTCACTGTGGCTGAGCTCCAGAGATGCAGTCGGGAGATGGGAGAAAGTTGTAGTAAGTCAACCATCACTGCAGCAATCCACCAGTCGGGGCTTTATGGCAGAGTGGCCCGACGGAAGCCTCTCCTCAGTGCAAGACACGTGAAAGCCCGCATGGAGTTTGCTAAAAAACACCTGAAGGACTCCCAGATGGTGATAAATAAGATCCTCTGGTCTGATGAGACCAAGATAGAACTTTTTGGCCTTAATTCTAAGCGGTATGTGTGGAGAAAACCAGGCACTGCTCATCACCTGTCCAATACAGTCTCAACAGTGAAGCATGGTGGTGGCAGCATCATGCTGTGGGGGTGTTTTTCAGCTGCAGGGACAGGACGACTGGTTGCAATCGAGGGAAAGATGAATGCGGCCAAGTACAGGGATATCCTGGACGAAAACCTTTTCCAGAGTGCTCTGGACCTCAGACTGGGCCGAAGGTTTACCTTCCAACAAGACAATGACCCTAAGCGCACCGCTAAAATAACGAAGGAGTGGCTTCACAACAACTCCGTGGCTGTTCTTGAATGGCCCAGCCAGAGCCCTGACTTAAACCCAATTGAGCATCTCTGGAGAGACCTGAAAATGGCTGTCCACCAACGTTTACCATCCAACCTGACAGAACTGGAGAGGATCTGCAAAGAGGAATGGCAGAGGATACCCAAATCCAGATGTGAAAAACTTGTTGCATCTTTCCCAAAACGACTCATGGCTGTATTAGATCAAAGTGCTTCTACTAAATACTGAGCAAAGGGTCTGAATACTTATGACCATGTGATATTTCAGTTTTTCTTTTTTAATAAATTTGCAAATATTTCTACATTTCTGTTTTTTTCTGTCAAGATGGGGTGCTGAGTGTACATTACTGAGAAATAAAATGAACTTTTTTGATTTTTGGAAAATGGCTGCAATGAAACAGAGTTTAAAGGGGTCTGAATACTTTCCGTACCCACTGTATATGAACACCACGGACACCAATCTTAGGCCTCTTACTGTTGTTTTTTATTTACTTTGTAGATTCATTATGAGGTGTCCATTTAACACTGATCACTGCTCTATGTATGAGTCACTTTTACAGCCTAAAGTAAGAAGGGAAATTCACTGGATAAGGTTTATTTTCAAATGTGTCTTCCACACTTCAAACAAGTTTTAGTTCCTTGTAGAGTCTATATCCACTCAGACAAATGCAATATCACTTTTTTATTATACCAAGAACTGTTTTACTGTAGCCGACCGAAAATCATTTCAATATAAAAGCACCACTTGATTTGAATAATCTTCATCCTACACTAAGATCTATCAGCACTATCAGCTCTGCTTCTTGTCGTCTTTAGCTCTGTCTCTTAAAACAGGATGTTCATGTTATTAATGCTATCAGGTATAATTACATCCATCCATCCATCGTCAACCGCTTATCCTGCATACAGGGTCGCGGGGAGGTATAATTACATTGGTTTGTTATATATTAGCCTTACACACTGAAAAGTAATAACTTGATTTAGTTTTGGGTGGAATGTTGATGCTGTTTTTCCATTGGTATAATTTAATTTATTTGATTTATTTTGTTGTTTGATTGTTTTAACCTGTTATTTTATCCTTGCATTAACTGATTAACTAATGTTATCTTTAAAAAACGTTATCATGTTGCTGCATGTCCACAACTTGGGGCACCCTTTCTCTCAAGGGATGGCCTCTTAGTTTGGCTTCTAAAGTCAATTGAAGGTGATAGAGGGAAGGCTGATTAATACCTACGTAGATGGCATTTCAGAAATCTTAGGAAATTAGGATTGGGCGATGTCTACAAAATCGCTATCAGACAAGGTCTACAATGAAAAAACGGGATGGACGGTGCCATCTGGTGGGGTGCGGGGATGGGGGTGTTGTGGTTGTCTTATAAAGGAACTTGTTCACTCGCATTTAGTCTCAGTAAAAACAGATCGCAGGTGGATGGACGATGGCATTGTCTATCGGCCCAACCCTACAGTACATTATGTGTATTAATTGACCCAATGGCAGCATACTGGTACATGGAAAACAGTAAATGACCCGTTAATTGGCAGGGCTCCAGACTAACTTTTTGCAATGGATGACAGTCTGTGTGTCATGTACTCACAGCCTCAGTGTGAACGGGGTGCACAGCAAAGAGGAGTGCCGTGACGAAGGCCAGCCGTGAGTCTTCGAATGTCCAGCTCTCACACATGTGCATAAGCAGGCACGTTACGCTGCAGTGCAAACACACGTTGACGATGTGGAAATAGAGAGGTGTCATGCCGCCCAGCAGGATGTTCAACCTGACAGACAGAGAGAGAAATATTCAGCACTGTAGGATGAGAGCTGCAGGTAATCTGTTCATGTGTAAATGATGATGAAATGATAGATGATTGAAAAGATTATTAAAACACATACAAAAAAGACTGAAACAGACTGATACATAAGTACAGTCTGTGTCATTCAATTTCCCAGAAACACTAAGCGTATGAAGAAAAAAAAACATTCAACCTTATCTATAACAATCACTCAGCTATATACCGCTGTGGATTTACTGTGGGAATCTCTAAAGAAAATTAGCATTTATATTTCCTGGATGAAGTGATTGTTTTATAATCCTGAGCAGAATCTCAATCCATTTTCTACACTGCCATGAATTTCAAATGAAAGGAACAGGATTGCTTTGAGAAAATATCAGATTCCTGCCATCTAATCACACCCTGCTTAAGATCTTCCAACAGCTAATCCCTCAGTGAGGAATAACAGTGAGATATGCAATTTTCACTTAGTTTATTATAATAAATATATACAGGTATTACGCCGTGACAATTCCCTCTTCACCCAACACAATATCAACAACCTGATAATAGCAAACCCAGAAAGAGTGACGCATTACAGTGGTTTTGGTTCCAGCTGTCACTCCATATTATATTTTAGACTTTCAAAAACATGGGTGGACTCAACCTCACCTAAGGCTGAATGATCTGAGTAAATGATCAAACTGTCATTCTGATGATTCTTGCTATTTAAATTAAACCCTATTAATTAAAGTCCACTCAAAAAGGCGTTTTGCTTATTGTTACTTGACTGTGATGTTCGATCGTCCCTGTGCAGAATGACTAAAATCCTCATCGAAATTATTCAGATTCTACGGTCACAAATATCAGCCCATAATCATGGTCCAGTATGTAACTAAGTGTGATGTGGAATCACCTGAGGCCAAGAGGAAGTGCCCCCTTGAGGTGTTTCTGTTCCTTCTCTCTGGCTTTTGCACTTTTTGGTATGTGGTCCGCTCTGTGGTGCAGGGTTCTCGTGACCTCTAGCTTGTGTTCCAGTGGGTGGTGGGGTTTCCTGTACACTCCAATTTGCAGGCTCCTGTCCTCTACAATGTGTGCAGCACAGTCCATCAAAGCTAAACTGTTGTTGTGAACATCTTCTTGTGTGAACTTGATGTTACTGTCCCGGAGTTGATGTGTTCTGTGAAGGCTTGCACTTCTTGGGTTTTAAATTTGACCCAGGTGTCATCGACATACCTGTACCAGTGGCTCGGTGCTGTTCCTCTGAAAGAGTTGAGGGCTTTTCCCTCCACTTCTTCCATGTAGATGTTTGCCACAATAGGTGGAACTGGTGAGCCCATGGCACAGCCATGCTTTTGTCTGTAGAATCCTCCGTTGTACTGGAAATAGGTGGTGTTTAGACAGAGGTCGAGTAATTTACAGATCTGGTCAGGGCTGAGGCTGGTTCTGCTGTCCAGGGTGTGGTCTTGTAGTAGCCATTTCCTTACGGATTCTAGTGCCTCCGTGGTGGGGATGCAGGTGAACAAAGGGGTCACATCATAGGACACAATGGTTTCATCTGGGTCCAGTTTCAGTCCTCGAACTTTGTTTACAAAGTCAATGGAGTTTTGGATGTGGTGAGGCGTGTTACCAACCAGCTCAACAACTAACTCCTTAACTCCTCAGGTCAAGACTCAGCAGTTTATTTAAGGATAAAGGACACTCGTTTGACGACCACCAGGTTCACATTTTAGACAGAGAAGACGGATGGTTCAAAAGAGGTGTCAGGGAAGTCATTTACACCCGGATTGAGAAGCTGTCACTGAACAGAGGAGGGGGTCACCACTTATCCCCCACTTACAATGCAGTCCTTTCATCACTTCCCAGGAAACTAAACAAGCATTTCCTCTTGGCCTCAGGTGAAGACGCCAACGATGGTCGTTCAGACTTTGCCGCGGGTGGTTGTAACGACCATAACGACTGTCATTACCACAGCCAGGGGTACTAACGAACCAGCGGTATCGACGATCCTAGCTAATGATCCCAGAGGTTAAATACCTGAGTTTCCCTACCAGTCAGTCAGAAGAAGTCTCTTGGATGAGGAACGAAACGTCTTCTAGTATCTCCAACCAAGTCCAGTTGCCCTTGACCTCAACCTTCATTGGATAACTATGACCTGGATGACTGAGAATCTTCACAGACAACAAGAGTTAAACTTTTGGGGAAAAACTGCATAATCAGAGATTCTGGATTTTTCGATGAGGGAGAAGGAACAGATCTAATTTTAGAATATTAAATGAGGTAATTGACTTTTTTGTTGTGGACAAACCATATCAGACATTTTTTTTACAAGCATAGTATTTTTATGTTTTAAAACTCTATAAGATGCATTACAGATGACGGCTCAAGATTAACAATCAAGGGGATCACCAAAGTTACTACAATTCATCCTGAGGAGAAATCTTGAGATATTTCACTCAAAACCACAAATGTCAACCTCATGGTGGTTCTAGAGGAAAGTTCAGGGGGTCACCACAGTCAGTAGGATTCATCCTCTGAAGACCATGAATGTATGTATACAATTTCATGACAGTCCATCCAAAACCTGTTGATATATTATAGTCTGGACCAAAATGGTGTACCAAAAATCCATCTGAATGACACTGCCATCCCTAGAGAATATGATATATTTTGCTCACATTGTTATTAGTGAAGTGCTTATTTTGTGTCAGGACTGTTATATTGACTAAAGCTTCAGGCTTGGGTTGGGTTTGGGCTTGGTTACTTTCAAATGTGTCATATGAAAATAAATCCTCTCTTTCTGTTACTTTACCAATTGTTGGCATCTAGTGTCATGTGTAGCATTTTGCAGTAGCAGCGAGGTTCTGTCCGGGTTAGGTCAGACATGCTGCTGGTTTGAGTCACATTTTCAAGTCTGTGCAGAACCATTTCAAGACCTTAACTCACAAAAGTGTTTTAAATTTAGTAGCGATGCAAAGGTACTAAATATGTTAGGTGGCATTTTGGGGATACATGTAGTATTTGTATTTTAAGCAGTAATCAAAAACATCAAGATTTTTTATTTAACTCTGGGTAAACATCATACAGCTTCAGTGATGAACAAGATGAAGAGAGAAGAGAACATATGTGATACTGTCAGTAAGTTTATATTTAGAGTGTACCTCCAAAGCAAGGCTTTCCAGAATGGAGAAAAAACAAACAGGGACGAGCTGAACAGATAAACATGGCTTCACATCTGAACTCCTTATCTCTGACTGTAATTAGTTCTAACGGGGTCCTCTGTGTGCCCTCATCCAGTCCATTATGTGATAAAGGAGACCCTGGCCTCCACTATCCCTCTGATTCATAATTCAATGAGGATGAATACGCTGTCTTGGTATGCATTATTTAGCTGACACTTTTATCCAAAGTGACTTATCATTTTTATGCACAACTCTGGAGCAACTAGAGGTTAAGTGTGGATGTGTTACAGTGGGGAATTGAACCCAGGTCTCTCACACCAAAGGCATGTGTCTTATCCGCTGCTCCACCACCACTCCCTTACTGACTGATAATGACTGATAAAACCTGCTTTAACTTGCAGAGAGAGCCTTAACTCTCATCATTGTCTCACCCTGACCTTAGTTGATGCTGACACACCTGAATAAGTTCTAATGCTGACTTGAGTCTGAAGGAAGTGAAGAGATGAGATTAATTTCCCAGAGAGCCCAGCCAGGGTCCGGACCCATCCATGCTGTGAAGGCTTCAGTGGAATTTAAATTTCTCATTTGAGGCATTTAGCTGATGTGCTTATCCACAGAGACTCACAACGAGGGAGCAGGTCAGGGTTCAGTCTCCCGCTCACTGACATTTTGACAGGAGACATGGCTGCCAGTGGATACATGTACAGAATACACAAAAAGAATTTCTAAGCAATAAAATGCACTGTTGCTCTGTTCAGTACAACTACAACATTACCTGACCAGTAGCTTACGGTGTGTCATGTTTGCAAATGTTCTCAAAGATAGATATAACTCAAGGTCCACTTATTGGCTTTTTCCAAAAACTATTTGCAAGGTAAGGAGGACACTCAACTGGATAGACGATGTTTTTAGGCAGCAAGTTTCCCTGGAAGATCCCTATGCAACTAGCTACAATGGCTTATCCAGGGGGCCAATTTATGTGTTTACTTTAGTCCGACCCAGAGACTTGCTTGAATTGTAGGGCTGCAGCTAACAATGATTTTAGTATTCGAAGCTTCTATAGATTATTTCAACGATTCATCAATACATCGTTTAAGAAGTACTTATGCTTGGCGGCGGCAGCGCCCCCCCCCCCCCCCCCCCCTCCATACAGTGTGTCATACAGTAAACATCAGACCAACAACCAGACAGCTGCTTTACAAACACAAACATCACCCGAGTGATATACAAGTTATACTACAGGCTCGTGCAGACTACACGACTTTCAGCGTCGGCCGATGGCCGTGCAGTTCACACAACTTGCCGTAATATGATGGCAGTCTTGAAGTCGTTTTGGCATTCACACTACTTGACTGATCGGTGACAGGGGGTCACCACACACACTACAGGAGCTGTCAACAGCAATGGCACCCACGGCTGGTTTCCAAACCACTTTTATCAAAAAAAACCACACGTGAAATGTGAAACGGGAAATGAGCGATCCTGCACACGAAACAGCTGCTTGTTATTATAAAGACAGCAATTATAAAGACAAAGAATCTGGGTGAAAGGATGGATTAGCACACGCAGGTAGCAGGGATTGTCTGAGCTACAGAGAGAGCTGCAGGGGAGTTAAAAGGTGCATCTCCCTGACACCCAGTTAACTCCTGACTGTGAGGTTACAACTCACAGCCCAACCAGGCAACATAAGTTTCGTTTTACGGTGGACAGACGGTAACATTACAGAGTTGTTTTCTTTAGCTTGAAATAATCCCATACTTTGGACACTTTCTTCTTTGTCCCTCACTGTTTTCTCTCTCTTCCTCCACTTTGCAAACAGTGCCA